CCGTGAAGATTCGGGGTAGAATAGGTCTTCAGCCATCCATGCTTGCCGGAAATGGCATCAGACTTGGTTCATGGCGTATTAACGTACCCCAATGGCGTGCAGCGTTGCTCATAATATCAATCACTGGTTTGACAGCGTCCAGACACGATTCTTTGAAGACCATCCTCAAATAGCTGGTATATTCCTGACTGTGGGATTGGAAAATAGGAGATATCCATTGACGTTGATTGACAGACCAAGGTCTTGTACTGGTGTTCGACCCGTGAAGATCCGGGGTAGAATAGGTCTTCAGCAACCCATGCTTGCCGTAAAAGGCGACTATGCTTGTCGTAAAAGGCGACTAACGGGATCGGATGGTTGATGCATGTCATCGATCCCAATTGCGTGGATTGATGTTCATGATATTAATCACTGGATTGTCTGGTCCAGACTCGATTATTTACAGACCGCCGTCATATAGCTGGAATATTGTTGAGTGCGGCGTTAAACAACAAACCACCCAACTTGTACAGGTGTTCAGTGTGTTTGTAAACATTCCCATTGATTTCTAGGTTGAAGTGAAAGGCGTATCCGGGTCGTACACTTGGCACTACAAGGACAAGTACCGCCGTATGCACCCCCATACTCTGGAATTCACTGATCTTCACATCTTCTCGCTGCAAGTCGCCTGATGGCTGCTAGGTCAAGGATGGTTTTCCAGACATTCGCAGCAGCTGCCCATTAATGTGACCTGGGCCCACCTGCACAAAGCAATCTTAGCGCTAAGATGATCGTAACTCCCATACTTTAATATAGGCTTACGGTAGTCTTAGCGCTAAGATCGCTTTGTGCAAGTGGGCCCTGGTCACGTGTTGGTTTGCATACCTTGACACACTCGGCTATTTCTGCTGATGATGACTACAGCTTGAACAATACAATGTATTACTTCATCATTGATATAACTTATATTTTTTAGGTGTTGTGTCTGAGAAAAGTTCTATAAAGACATCCCGAGAAGATGCCGAGTTAGACTTGGTCTTCGCCAAAACATGCTTGCCGTAAAGGGCGACTATGCTTGCCGTGTGAGGCGACAAACGGGATCGGGTTGTCAGGCTCGCTGACTTTGTTGATGCATGTCACCGTATCCCAATTGCGTAGATCGACCCTCATGATGTCAGTCACTGGATTAAGACTCGAGTATTGATAGACCGCCGTGAAATAGCTGAAATATTGCTGAGTGCGGCGCTAAAAAACAAACAAACAAACAAGCAAACTATGAAGACATGGTACTCCTTTTTGTTTCCGTTGGTTTTACCAACAATAAGTAATTGTTCACTGGTCATGCCATACTGGATGTCCTGATGAATCCATGTAATATACAATATCCTGCCACTAAAAAGTATCCCATTGTGACGAGGTGATTTCCAATTTCAAATGCAAAGGCTGACCCAGAAACCAAGATCAAAGAATTATCAATACATTATATTGAAACACACAGTCTTAGGTGTACATAAAAAGGGAATACAATGGGTCAAACGTGTGGTTGGTGTTTTCTTCGGGTATCCAATCCGTACTCGGCAAGTAATTAAGACGCAAGTTGCGTCGTAGAGGCCTCAAATCACCCTCGGGCCACTCTTATATATAGGTGCAGTCATTCTTTTAGGACGACCATGCTGTCCTTGATTGTCAACAATCAAGGGAGGTAACTCTAAATGATACTCCCTCATACAATCTGGCAATTACATAACTCGATACTGATCCAGTTAACTGACCCAAAATAGCGTTGTTTTCCCCCTAGATATGCTTACCTTCAAGAATAAACTCTTTCAATGGCTTCACTTCAACTATCTTTAATTTTTGTTCTTCATTCTTTGGATATGACAGCAAGGAGGCGGATTTTGCAATTGAAAATGGAACGAAAAGTGCCACTTTGGCAAATTGGATCTGCGTGATTAAAGGAAATTAGTAATAAGACGATTAGATTAAATGTTCTTTGAATACATGCATGTGGACTCATTACAACAGCAAATGTGTCAGAAAGGAAGCGTTTTTCAAAGCTTGATCACGAGCAATTCTTTTACCAAAGATGACTTTATTACGGCATGTAGATGAGGACAATATCCATGGTTAAATACTCTTACCGTCACATATTTACTTTTAGTAAGACCTTAGCACTTCATATCTCTTCCATTGCAGTCACTAGCGTCCTAAAAGAGGGGCGGTACAACAACTCAGTTAACAGTGTCAATATTGTGTGTGACCACCATTTGCATTGATAGACGAGGTAGCGGCGACGCATTGAAACAGCAGATGAATTAAAACAGCCCTGTGGATGTTATTCCAAATGTCAACCGACTGGGCTAGCGTTACCGGCTGGTTCTGGTCCTGTCGTAGGCGTCGACTCATCGCATCCCAGGCAACCGACAGGTCTGGAGAAACAACCGACCAGCAATGTTATGCTGCCTCACAAAGATTGCTGCTGCATGTGGTCGGGAGTTATCCTGCTGCAATGTGACGTTACGTCTCTGATTCTGCACGAAGGGTAGAACATGATCTCGAACCATGTCGTCCTGGTAGCGTACTTCATGAGTTGTGTTCTCCCATGCCACCCCATACCATTACTCTCTCACACCAAAACAGACGATGTTGAGTAACGTAAGCGGCGCTAAAATGTTCTCCTGGCGCCTGCAGCTGTCCAGACGGAAACTAGACTCATGTGGGAACAGAATATTGTCCTAGTCTTGTCTTCTTCATCTCAGATGCTGACGGTGACGTGGACGCAGAATTGGGCGTATCGCTGGGAGCGGATGTGTGCTCCGTCAAACGGTTGCGTACGGTTCTGCCACTATCTGGTCTCAACAGAGGAATTGTCCGAGCTGTGTTAAAGTGGCAATTTGATGTCGATTCCATAGATGCATCAACCGAAAAAGGTTGTGGACGACCGGCCCACGACAAGTCATGTGTGTTGCCCTGCTGTAGATAACGTCTCCCAAGAGATGATATTGCGTTTCGATGAACATTAAAAATGACAGGCAATTTCGTCTGACGCCATTCCTCTTTGCAGTATATTCACTGTACGTTAACGTTGATTTTAAGCATGCCGTGGCTTTGCTTTGTATTTACGTGAAACAAAGGAGTTTTTATTGGCATATGCTGATAGCTAAACAATCATTTTGCACCCGTCCTAGCGCTGTCTCTGTGCTGTGACCAATCTATAAGTAGACTGCGTCACTTCAGCACTGCGTCACTTCAGCACTGCGTCACTTATCTCCTTTACATGATGTTAATGCCCTAAATATCAAAGTGTGAATTGTAACACTACTTTAAAAAATACAATTATCTGTTCGGGTTCAAGCAGATGAAGTCAACCTTTGGAATATTAAACATATAATGTCATGTTTTCTTTGTTTGGAGTTTTCAAGGTCACACATAATTTGATTAAGCTTCACAAATAAATACAAGGTACATCAAAGTGTGTTTTCAGCAATTACTTATCCACATAAACAGCTTGACTGCTCTGCAGTATAAATTGAAACGTAAATACTAAATTTAAAATTTAATTACAATGCATTATCTTAAATACTAGTCAGTGTTATAAGGGTAAAACATATTTATACAAAACTTGAGTTTATTGAAAATGTTAGGAAATTTTGGGAGCCATGCTTTACCGCGCGCTATAACCGAGTTAGTGCTATATTGAAGGGCGCAATAACGAGGGAACACTGTATTTACAATTATAATATTTTAGGCGTTAAACCCAAGTCACTCACTAAGCACAGGCGGCTTCCACACCATCCTATATGTCCCCATGGCTCGGTAAACCTATACAAACCGCGGAGAGGAATCAATCGGTTTTATCACTATGCAAAAATAACCGTATCAGGGCCAGGCACACCAGTGACAAAAGCCATGGGAAATGTTTCTCACCATCGAGGCTAGATGACAGGCCATCGATCAGGTATTTGTTTGTTATCTGCAAAATTCAAGTAATATGATGGCGGTCTGTAAATAATCGAGTCTGGACCAGACGATCCAGTGATTGACATCACGATCATCGATCGCGCATTTGGGATACGATGACGTGCATCAACCAAGTCAGCGAGTCTGACCACCCGATCCCGTTATAGTCGCTTCTTACGACAAACATGGGTTGCTGAAGACCAACTCTAACCCGGATCTTCATAGGCCATCGGTGAGGTAACAGGCACTGACCGCCCCATTTTTGTAGGCCTTGGCGTCAAGTGTGCAGTGCCTGAGACCTTTCCTGTCCCGGAATTCCCAATGGTTATAAACATTACATGGAATCCCCATCCTTGCAATCATCAAAGGTAAATTAGATTCAGACCGCCTTGTGGTCTTGTATCCGCCCTGAGAGCGGAAAGTCCGGGGTTCGATCCCCGGCCGCGTCAGACCAAAATACGTTAAAAGATGGAACTTCTTGTTACCCAGCCCGACGTTCGGCTCGGCGTAAGTATACTGTGTCTGAGTGTATCCATGTTAAACTGGGGCATGATATCTTAGGAGGTTGGCACTATAAAGCCGGAACAAGCAGCCAAACTCAAACACACACACACACACACACACACTCACACTCACACACACACACACTCACTCACACACACACACACACTCACTCACACACTCCTATCCTTGGTGTCATGGGGGCACGGGTGGCCCAGTCGTCTAAGGCGCCGCGATTCGCTGTGCAGAGTTGCGTCCCTTGGGCACGCCAGAAACCTATGATTGTGGGTTCGAATCCCAGTTCGCCCTGATTATGTTTCTAGATTTGTCAGCACCATACCCGTGCTCGTGGGTTTCACCGAAGTGGTAAACGTCTGAGACCTGCATCACTTCGGGCTTTCCTCCCACATTAAGCTGACACGCCGTGATATAACTGGAATACTGTTAAAAGCGGCGTTAAACCCAACTCACTCATTCACTCACACACTCACTCACTCACTCCTTGGTGTCATACAGTTGTACCCGTGAATTACGACTAGTTGCTTAGTAATTTTTATTTTTTATTTTTTTAAATATGAACCTAGGACCTCGGGTTCTTTAATCCCAACATAGATCCACGTGTACAACCTGCGGAACTCTACCAGGTATCGGTGGTACTTGAGACTGTTGAGACCATCCACCTCCACCCTCGCCTTCCACGTCTTCAGATAGGAATACCTGCAGTTGAGTGACAGTGTTTAGGATTAAACGAGTTAGCGTCTAAGCTAATCCTGTCATATCTACGTGAGTGCAATAGTAAATCAATCTCATTTAATTTACTGGGGGCACGGGTGGCCCAGTCGTCTTAGGCGTCCCTTGGGCACGTCCCTTGGGCACGCCAGAAACCTATGATTGTGGGTTCGAATCCCAGTTCGCCCCGATTATGTTTCTAGATTTGTCAGCACCATACCCGTGCCCATGGGTTTCACCGAAGTGGTAAACGTCTGAGACCTGCATCACTTCGGGCTTTCCTCCCACATTAAGCTGACACGCCGTGATATAACTGGAATATGGTTAAAAGCGGCGTTAAACCCAACTCACTCACTCACTCATTTAATTTACTCTGGTACAATACATCTCAGCGTGAGGATTTGAGGACACCACCACAGGAGGTCGCTTTTTATTCAGCAATCATCATCGAGGCTTCTGAAATCTCAGTACAAGTGAGCGAAACATTCAAACCAGCATATCTGATTTCTGTATCTTGACGAAAAAGCGACAAGTTCCGAAAGTAGAAAACATAGGAGCGCCAGTATATTGCACACATACAGTAAACTACGAATATAACGACCGTAGTTCGTTATTGGCACATGCACACCCTATATACAGCAAATTGACGGGACCCAAAAATGGTTCGATATATCCGTCAGTTCGGTATAAGCGTGTTCGTTAGAAACGTAGTTAACTGTATTAAATTTTGGATATATGGATATTTCACTCATCCCGCCCTTACTGAGCGCTGACAAAACGGAAGTAGCATCGGAGGAACATTTGTGTTCTACATCGGTTTTCATTTTTACGATTCGAAATTTCATAATCTAGGTGGTAAGGAAATGATGCAAAATCGCTTTAGAAAGCTGACAGCTGATTTGCTCAAGAATGTACGCAGCCTTCTTGATATTGAGCGGTCAAAGTTCGCAGAGGGTTCACCACGCGACCTTCTGTGGAGGAGTTATCAGATCATCGTATCAGATCGATTAGGTATCGTATGGGAGCAAAATATTTTATTTTCATGAGACTTATTTCCGCCTCATCAAGGCCAGGTTCATACGGTGCCAATTACGGCTCCCGTTTGAGATCAGACAGCGCTACGACGCGAAAAGTGAAAAAGTCGGATTACTATCCTCGATCATCTGGAATGTCCTATCATTGTCTAGACGCAGTCGTATACGTTCGTAACAGAGTCCTACGGATCGGGAAAGGTCCACAGAGGTCGGCCAAGCACTCCCGACAGTATGGCTCTCCCGTAACATTCGGGAAACTCAGCCGATTTTGTCTAGTCGGATTACAATCCTGACTTTGTTGTGACAGATTCTGCTGTATCGTAAACAAAATCGTAAACTGTGCTGTGTTGTCTGGACGGTGTCCTGTGGATCGGGACGCTGTCGTGATGAACGGGCATGAACTGTTCATTGCCGTTTCTTGTCGATTTAGCCCAGATTGCGTCCAGATCTTGTTGATACAAATCGGATCAGATTCGGATTGAGAACGGGAGAATCGGGACGAATTCGGCTGGAAACGGCTGAATCGGGACCGTTCCTGAACAATATCTGATTGTTTGTGAATTTCCCGCCACGAAAATCACAAGATCTTGATCAGACATTTAACAATTTCTAATCGGGAATGGTCCTATAAGGGCCGGCAGTAAAATTCCTGAATGTGTGTGACTGAGAACTAAAGAATATTTGAATTGAGTTTTGAATTTCACAGTGTGTCAGCTTGGTATGTGAGGTAAATGCGAAGTGTAAAATCTGGCATTTCTATTATATTAATAAATAAAACTTGTATATATACAAAATAAATAATAAAACAAAACAACGTATGATACATTACGGACAGTTAATGCTACATTGGTCTGTGTCGTAATTCCCGTTATAGAATAACAGGGGAAAAAGCTGTTAAAAGCGGCGTTAAACTCACTTACTCGCTATAAAATAACACCCACCTTGCATTTTGCGCTTCACTCTTCCGATGTTTTAAATCCCCGTATCCTGAGATTTTCATCGGATACCGTTCGATGTCCATATTGTGGTGTTTCACTCTGAAATGTATGACGTCACGAAATAGAAACGTTAAAAGTAAAAATCATAGGATATCAACAAGTTCCTCGTGGAATGTTTGAAGCTGGTTTGTTGGTTGGTTGGTTTGTTTGTTGTTTAACGCCGCACTCAGCAATATTCCAGCTATATAATCGAGTCTGGACCAGACAATCCAGTGATTAATATCATGAGCATCGATCCACGCAATTGGGATCGATGACATGCATCAACCAAGTCCGCGAGCCTGACCACCCGATCCCGTTAGTCGCCTTTTACGGCAAGCATGGGTTGCTGAAGACCCCGGAATCTTCACGGGTCGAATGTTTGAAGTAACAAAGGATGATTTAATTGTTTTTCATAATACATCACTTAAAAGAGTATAAATTTTATTTTGGGGCTTTCCCTTTTGGCTGACATTTAAGATCTCGCATATGTTGAACATTTTCAGGAGAAATTTTCCACAGGTCTTAATTATTCTATGGTTAATATATTTTTATACTGATAGCGACAATAAATGCGTTTTAACATTATATTTATATCTGGTTGGATACATATAAAAAACAATACTTTCCATTTCTATATTTTTTATATTCACATTTCAACTTCAGAATTCAGTTTCGTAAACAAGGTTTTAAAAAGAGTCTTGCCAATTTGACGTTATACAAGAGCATGAATGACGTCATATGACGTCTAAGACACATCATGATCAACTATTACCTATTATAAAGGTCGTCGTCCTCGCCTCCCCAACCGAAGTACATGTTAGAGTAGCCGTTGATCTTCTTGAACAAATCTGTCTTGAAACTCACAACGCCACCGAAAATATGTTCATACGGTAATCTGGGGAAAGAATGAGGAGATATATATATGTGTGTCTGTGTGTGCGTGCGTGCGTGCGTGTGTGTGTGTGTGTGTGTGTTGGTGATCTGAGTGACGTCATTATAGTTCAATGAAAACTCAGGACCAGTACAAGAAGCCATACACACACACACGTACATGCACGTGTAAACGTGTGCAATAATCTTGAAAATGACGTTAATCCCCATTTCACATCATGTACCTTGCTTAACCCTCCTGGTACATACAGTGTATAAAAGTATTACAACCACTTTATTTCTGCACAGTGTTACCAAATTCTACAACATTGTATCCCAATCGCGTAGATCGATGCTCATGATGTCAATCACTGGATTGTCTGTTCCAGACTCTGTTATTAACAGACCGCCGTCATATAGCAGGAATATTGCTTAGTGGGGTATTAAACAACAAACAAGAAAACATTCAACTCGAGTTGATTGCCTTTCCAATTGTATCTTAATTCAGCATGTCCAAAAATGTTATGCACTGGCTAGCCAATGGTTTTCGGAGTTTACATTTCAACTTACGCGTAGTTCCAGCGAGCGAGGGCAGCGGCATGGTGGCGTGGTTTGCTGCCACAGGTGTAGAGGTTCCGTTCACTCAGGGGGATCATATCAATATCATGGAAGAAATAGCAATCAAACTTGCAAAGTTTCTCTCCTTCAACAACGCCAATATTTCGGAGCATTCCTCTATTCAGTCTAGACCCCGGGGCCTGTGAAATACATTAATGTGTCAGTGGATATCGGAGTGGATGAGAAATCAGAAAAGTTTGAAGTGTCCGTTATAGAGTAGTATCCACACACACACACACACACACACACACACACACACACACACACACACACACACACACACACACACACACACGCCATCCCACCCAACACCCTCTGCATACACATTTGTATAATGTGTGAAGCATATATATTGGTGTTATAGGGCTAGAACATTTCTAAAAGAGGATCAAACACACAATTAATTATTACCACAGGGGTAAAACATTTCGGTACAATATTTCTGCGTTTTGCACAGTGACCCTATAATCAAGATCTATATTGTGATAAGACGATGATAAAAACATCGCGAAAGTGCATCAAAATCAGTTGCGCACCTTGATTAAAAACCTGAAAAGATTTGGAAAATATCTCTATACAACGACCTGGCGGTGCACATGCTTTGCAAATCCCGAATCGACCGAAATCTGCATTACAGTTTACGAAGGGGATTTCGATTTCAATGTACGCCCATGGGATTGCCTTGTTCTCGCCCATGGGCGAAATATTTTAATTTCGCTATAAAAATCGTTGTATTAAGTTGAAATGAGTTAAATTTTGTGTCATGATACTTGAAAGAAATACATTTATGTATTTGCGAAACAAAAACATGAGTTTTAGGTAAAGGAACGTATTCTCGCCAATGGGCTTGCCCATGGGCCTGCCGATGGGCCACACTTCGCCCATGGGCCTGCCCAGGGGCGACATAGTGTAAATATTGAGTTTTTGAACATTTTTTTTCATTTTCCATAGGAAACTGGACTTTTAAAGTCAGTTAAGTCTCTGGCCTCGGGAAGATGACTTTAAAGGGACACATGCGATCTCACCTGTTCAACAACAAGTATCATATATTCCACCCTCTGCTTCTTTAAAAAGGGGTGAATATTGTTCAGGAATATTTTCAAGTGCAGACTCCTCTCCCTGAAGGGGACAATGACAGCGACCCTCTGCGATGATGTGCACTCTGTGGGACGGAACAGACCCCCTGGTTCAAGGTCAGCCCCGTGTAGTTTCTCCAGCATCTCCATGCTGCGACTGTCCAAGTTCACCTTGACCTTTGTATTTCCTGGAACACGTATCATACATTCAGTCTAATCAGTGCTCAATGTATGTTTTTAAGCCATTTTTATTTACCCACTTGAAATCATTCTAGTTTGATATTTATGATTTTCTTTGTGTATTAAATATATTTTACTCCCTGGGTCCTTGTAGTTTATTGGGTATTATTTTAACCGATAAGTTGACATTCATAAACATACCTGCTGAAAAAACGCTCTTTACGATACTATGTTTTTTACATCATTCTCTGCAACGTAGAGTTCATGGATGATCAGCCGGAGTAAGCTCCGTTTTCCGTTATTCATTTCAGACATAGAATGGGCATTTAAACACCACATTCTGTGATCTTGAGACAGAAAAGGTCTACCGTATATCATGCTCTATGGCCGCGCTCATGCTATCAATCAGTAGTTTCTCTGACAGCCGTGATATCTCTGGCATATTGTTCACTCACTATGACGAATTTCATCTATATGGAAATTACAAAGATTTTCTGTTTTTTGTTCCAGCTGAGTTACGTTAAACAGATGCCACGGGAGGCGTAAGATGTACCCGGATTCGCATTTCTGTTATTTTAAAAGCATCTAAATATGGAATTGCGACCTGTTCATTGAAAAATAGTTTTGTGCATTCATAAATCATGGCGGAAATACGATAACATCAGATGCGAACCTTACAATTTCTATGTCAAAGTCCAAATAGGTTTGTGTATATCAATGTGTGGCGTTGATTGAATGTGTGTATTGGATCATCATCATCATCATCATCGTCATCATCATCATCAACATCATCGGTACGGACAATTATTGTTAGGAACAGCTCTATAGGGAAAGGACAACACGTAATATACATGTTTCGTTTTTGTACTGTATCGTCCGGATCAATGGGGTCCACTGAATATTAAAGCTCGACTCGGCGGTGACGTCATATCTCGTCGCGTCTCGCGAGAATAGCGATTCCAAATGGCGACACATTACAGGAGCATTAACTACATTCCAACATACCTTCGGGCTTTCGTTCTCACCAAACAATAAAAATACTCTACATTCCAAATTCCCCAAGGTTCCTACCTCGTTTCCGTCTCATCTCATGGCACCACGGCCCTGTGCTTGAAATGTTTCTCGTAATGCACGGAGGCCGCTCTCCAACGAAAATATCACAGTCAGTCCTGCAGTGCCCTGTTCCGCGACTTGTTTCCATGGTTGTTCCCAGTTTTGTATTGTTAGAGGTTCCTGAATGTACGCATCTCATCCTTTCCCGGCTGTGCCATCGTTTGTGTTGAACGTGAAGTACCTGTGTATGGAACACTGTAATTGACATTTTCGCCTTCCTGTTTTCGCTAATTCGACATTCGGTAAACCGTTATAATGTGGAATGTACGAAAACGACATATTGGGATATGTGGCCAAAATTTCCCGATCTCGAATTCTGTTGTTTTTAAGAAGATATTTACTATGGCCAGAAATAGCAAGAACGCAACAATGACCCTTACAGTTTTCCGTACCTGTGTGTGTCGCAACAGAAAATAACAAAACACAAGAGTGGTGGCTGTCAGTAACACAAACCCTGTCCGCGCTCTCCCCAGCATCTCACAAGTAAAGCACCAGCGTTTACACATGACCTTTGCATAAGTACATAGCTGAGAGTAATTACTGTAATTTACTGTCGCAGTTAGTATTCCTAATACACACGGTCGCATAACATCGAGCAACTAGGGTCGTATGAATCAGTTTCCACTACAGTGAAACCTCGTTAATTCGGACAGAAACATTACAGTGAACTCGTCACTGTGTGCGTCTTTTGGCAGGGAATACTGATTAATTCTTTATTTCCATAATACAAATGTCATCTTCCCAAGGCAAGGGAGTTAACTGACTGCAAAAGTCCAGTTTCTCGCACTTTAACACTCAGTTAACTCCCTTGCCTCGGGAAGATGTACAAATGCCTGCTTCGTTCGTGTCTTAGGCTTTCATTTGTGTGTGCGTGTGAGATAGAGAGAGAGGGGTGGGGGGTTGAGACAGACAGACAGACAGACAGATGAGAAGATCAAGACGGTCATATTAAATGCCACGCCAAATATGTCTTTATGGAAATTTACAATCTTATTTTGAAAATTGTTGAGAGAAATTGCTGAGAGCGCAAAGAGACAAGACATTGCATGTTGTGCGTGCAGATCATTACGACAACCCGTAAAGGTTTAAGAAAAAGGCAGACACGGGGAGGAAGGGAAGAACACAGACATTTCCAGCGAGATGTGAGAGGCATGAAGAACAGAAAGTGATCTATATAGTAATCAGGCCTGTGGATCAGCTCTGTTAATATAAAGAATTTTCATTTCTCATTGTATAAAGACGTTGTATGTTGCATTGTATACCACCCTTAAACGAGTAACGTATTTTAAAAACAGAAATTAAATGAAAAGGGAGACCCATACAGTCAGGTGATAAACTGACCAGAAAAATATCCGAGTATGGTATAAATTTAACGATTTTACCGACGCTTTTCTGGGCATAGTGCGTGAGTCGGGTCGTAATCTGTTTTGGGAAATATTCCGTTCATATAACGGTGAGGGATACCAAGAATGAGCTTCAAACCTTGCACCCATCGAACCCGGCGTGACCAATTGCATTAAATGCTGTAACAACTGTGCCATCCGATTAACTTCAAATATTAGTATTGTAGACAATGATACTAGTATATGGTAGGGAAGAGAATGTATGGATGTCAACTTCTTTATAATGAGGAACTCGCCATTTCGGAGTATATGCTTACTCCTTCATTCAGACACTGGTGTACATGGCCGGGACTGGTTTTCTATAGGCTGGAAAAGCTTGAAATTTACCTCGTGTGCGTTGAACACCATTCATTCACTGACAAACCCCAAAATGACACAAGTTGCCACGATGGCGATACTAAAGAAGGGTTGTTTCCCTTTGAACATGGTGCATTTGAAACGCTGCTGGAGGTTCGTTTGAGGATATACTATGCATGATTTCTACAACATAATACCACATAATCTGCTTATAGCTGGAGCCCTTAACAATAAGAAGCTTTCATATTACTCTAGTTTATCTGTCATGTCACGTGAAGGACCACCCGCTTCATTCATATTACGCCCCGTGAAGATCCGGGGTAGAATAGGTCTTCAGCAACCCATGCTTGCCGCAAAAGGCGACCATGCTTGTCGTAAGAGGCGACTAACGGGATCGGGTGGTCAGGCTCGCTGACTTGGTTGATGCATGTCATCTGATGCGTGTCATCATCCCAATTGTGTGAATCGATGCACGTGATATTAATAACTGGATTGTCTGGTCCAGCCTCGATTATTTACAGACCGTCGTAATATAGCTTGAACATTGATGAGTGTAGCGTTAAACAACAAACAAACAAACAAACAAACAAACACACACACACACACACACACACACACACACACAAAAGCAAAACAATGTCATGGGGTTCTCAACGATTATTTCATCAGTTGCTTGCACGTTTAGAAAACATCCTAATTGAGATTATACATGTACGAAATATATAGCCATCTACAGGAATAGTTATATAAATCCTGTTTTTAGCCTTCCTCGTCCAATAACTTTATCATGGACATCGTTAATGATACCATTATTTATCAAAACACTATTCATGATATAATCTTAGACTATTTCAGTATAATTAAGAGTTCATACCACACCATTATATCGTGTTCCAGCAGCCGATGTCGACGTATTCACGTCCTCGCCCTGCTGGCGAATCTTGTACTTGTTCAATAAATATTATTTATTGCGCTCAGTTCCAAATTACATATATACGCCGCTAATTACTGTATTCCGGTTATATCACGGCGTGTCAGCTTGGAGGAAAGCCCGAAGTGATGCAGGTCTCAGACGTTTACCACTTCGGTAAAACCCACGAGTACGGGTATGGTGCTGACAAACCTAGAAACATAATTGGGGCGAACCGGGATTCGAACCCACAATCATAGGTTTCTGGCGTGCCCAAGGGGGGACACAACTCTGCACAGTGAATCGCGGCGCCTTTGACGACTGGGCCACCCGTGCCCCCTTATACATTGGGGCATAATAAAGATAAATTAACAACACTATGACCAACTCATTTAATGATTTATATTTCACAAACATGTACAATAACTAAGCTAAAAAATATGTGAATCCGATGAAGTAAACACATGAACAAAAGGGTTCCAATTTTATATTTAATTTTGAAACCATCTCTTTCAGATTACAATGTGTCAAACAAAACATTGAGAAAATAACAACAACAAATAATATTATGTATGTGTGTGAACACGAAAATACTGCTTCGGTAGACCATGGTAATACTTATATGACGACCATAACATCGGCGTGTAAACCCACAATACTCCTGACACAGTATCACCCTGGCATAGAATATCAACACAGAATAAGCCAAAAACAGAAAAAGGCTTATCCAAATAAGCCAAGGCTTAACCTATAGGCGACACGATACAAAGATAGTCTTACACAGATTTGGACAGAATTAACCTGACCCAGAAGCATTCTCACATAAAACACTACTGCCTTAGAATTAGTTTCATAATTCTGACCAATAATTTCCCCCAAAATGTACCTGACACAGAATCCCCCAACCCCGAATAAGCATAACCCAGAATTCGAAGCGCCTAAAACAAAACTAGTCTAACGCAGATAAGTCACCAGGAATTAGTCACCACGTGATTGGCCCCATCTCAATTAACATAATATACCATCATCATGACCCTCAATTAGTCCAAAACTTAATCAGACTTAATTTTAATTGTCCTAACTCACAAACACAGAATTAGAGTGACCCTCAATTAACATATAAATAAATACACTGATACTCATTTAGCATAGCATAGACTTACCCTGTCTCTCATTGAGCCTAACACAGACTTTGTATGTATTCTACACTTAATCTATTTCAAAGTCTCGCTGTCTAATACATATTAAATATTCTTAACTGCAACATATCGTCATCCACTAATGGACCGTCAAATGACTGATTCTGTACTTGAAACGCTAAATATACAGCGAGGCCTGTCAGAGTTCAGAGTAAATTTCACCGTCTTACTCATCTGTCACCTATGATTTTTCAAAAATAGGGCGGTCGGGTAGCCTAGTGGTTAAAGCGTTCGCTCGTCACGCCGAAGACCCGGGTTCGATTCCCGACATGGGTACAATGTGTGAAGCCCATTTCTGGTGTCCCCCGCCGCGATATTGCTGGAATATTGCTAAAAGCGGCGTAAAACCATACTCACTCAAAAATAACCCCCGTATGAAGTGAATATTTTACATTATAAGGTTTCCAACACTAAACGTCACACAAATGAATAATTGTTTTCATATCAAACCGTTCTTCACATGAAAATATCCTTTTTAACAATTCCTGGCTAGAAGAAATGTATTCGTCCTTATAAACAACTTCAGGAGACACATGTATCTTCTCATTTCTTGCAGGTCGACTTAATTGTCCCGTCGCCCGTCCACATGTTTTGTTGGTAATCTTTGTACAAAGCCAAGTTCTTCCACGAATAACTATTGACATCCACATAACTCGTTTCACTCTTGTACCAAGCTCCTCTCTTCTTTGCGCTGGACTCCGTATGACGACCAAGTCGTTCCAAAATCCCTTTCAGGCGACTCGTTGGGAGCTTGTTCTGAGCACTGGCAGCAATGGCCATCTGGTTTAGGGTGAGTGAGGCGTAAGCGCCTGCCCTTGAGTGGTGGGCCGAACGATGGACGTGTGGAGCTGGAGCTGGAGGAGGTCCTGGAGATGCTGCCGGTTCTCTTGGTTCTGGGGATGGGTTGGTCTTGGTATCGTGTTGACTCACCGGAGGAGCAGGTTCAGGGGAAGGATTAGTGTCCGAGAACGGGTCAATTTCAGCTATTGCTGGAACCTCTGTCTCTGGAGGTGTAACGTCATCGTTTTTAGCTAAACATTCTGGAGTGACGGTCTCGGGATGTTCCTTGTCCTCAGGGTTTAGTTTGTTACCTTCAGGATCTGGTTTGATGTCCTCAGGAACTCTTTCCCCTTCCGTCTCTTCTTTGCCTTCTTTCTCCATCGTACTTGACGGTTTTGTATCATCTGACTTTTTCTCCACCTCTGCTGTATTTTCAACTACATTTTCTGTTACGGCTCCATCTGTTACGGCCCCTTCTGTTACGGCTGCATCTGTTACGGCCCCTTCTGTTACGGCGCCTTCTGTTACGGCTGCATCTGTCGCCTCAGGGATCTCCGGATCTTGTTTACCTTCCGTATCCGGCCCAGGGACTGTTTCAGATTTCGGTGCTTCATCCGCATCCATGATTACAACAATGTCTTCACAAATAAAACCTTCAAGAAACCCCACGACTAAATCACCTCCGTTGCCAAACAGATATCCACAGCGTCGTCAATAGATACGATTCACAATATGTATGGCGTCCCACACAGGTACACATCCACCATCCACAAAGAGTATCAACACCCAACATATACTGCCATGAATGAACAGTTCGATCCGAATTCCTATATTATTGCAAAAGTGTCGTGTCTTGTGCCTCACGCTCTGCTCAAAAAGGTCTGCAGTCAAACACTATACCTGCCAACCGATATGTTCCGCTTCCCAGCACACGGGGGTGTTACCGTCCCCTCAGAATCTTATCGAAGTCATTTGATATGCACGACTTGAAATATCTATCGATAATTCTACAGTAAGCTTAGGCCTAGTTCCACGGCTCGCTGGCCAGAACGTTTTCAGAATCAGAATATATCTGGCGATACAAGAACACGAAACAGAACGCTTGATATCTTAAAGATGCACATGTCCCGAAGGTTGCTATGAACAAAATGGCGTGGCAATTCTAACAATCATTTATTAATTCACATATTGAGCACCTAAGAAAGGACACAATGTTGCGATTATTAAGATGGTGTCTTTGTGGTTCATAAGATCTTAATAGGATCGGATTACCGGAGGAAATATGCCCCGACTACTGCAAGTCAAAAGTATCTTATCGTCAATTAGTAAAGCCACCCCACACTTAGTTACAGCTCGATCGACCCATAACGTCATTTAACGCCCATTTAACGCTAATACCTCGCGGCTTCTCATCTAGGTTTAAGAACACTGATCCAATATGAATCCATTACTGACTTGAGCATATAAACCCATATCAGCTCACAACGCATATCGTGCTTGAACGGTTGATAAAGCTCACGTGACATAATTAATAACCTGCCCTAGGCCTCCTGTGGGACTCCGCTGGCGTTACAGACTGATTGTATTGATACGAGTGTATTGAGGCCGGGTTGGTTGTCGGGTGCACGAGAGATTAGCAACGCTGATGTATACATGATCATGAGTGGCGGGCGCAGAATGCAATTAATTCTCTAAAGTATTGATCATGCGATATTTCATATCTTATTTTGTTTGGGTTACCTAATTTGTCAAATAGACCTACAGGCTTTAAATTAAAACATGGTTTATTTGTAGATGTCACAATGAAATTTAAAAAAAATGTAGAGTATGGTTTGATATGTCAGTTATATACACAATGCATGTGCAAAAGTCCTTGTTGTCCTTCTTGGGTGTGGTTGGAATATTGCTCAAGTTGGTGTAAAAATAACTCACTAATTCCGAGTCATTTAAGAATGACTCAGGTTTGAACTTATTATACAGGGATCTGAAATGTACGGTATTTTTATTTTTAAAAATACTCTACTTTATACCTGTAGGACAGTTATAACGAACATCGTGATACCGTTGAGATTGATCCGTAACTGCCACACCCATGTTCCTTGAGCAGTCATGAGCAGTTATGAGGTGAAGGTGAAATTGGGTTTAACGTCGCGTCCAAGATTATTGCACTTATATAGCGACGTGCATGCACGTGTATGTGTGTGTGGCTGCTTGTACTAGTCCGGACTGATGCCGATTTATAGTGCTAGCACACTGAGATACCATGCTGCAGTTTAACATGAATACCCCACTCTCAGACACAGTATACTGACTCCGAGCAGACCAGTCCTTTGTTTTAGCCCCTTAATGCCGAGTGCCAGACAGGGTTACAACAAGTACCATCTTTTAACGTCTTTTGGTATGACGCGGCCGGGGATCGAACCCCGGACCTTCTGCTCTCCGGGCGGACGCTCTACCTCTAGACCACGCAGGCGGTCTGAGCAGTTATGAGATACTCATTGTAGGGTGCATGTAATATCGCCTTTGATAGCCGTATCAAATACATAACCATCGAATAACCATTTCATGTTTTATTTTTAGCCACCATCAAACATGGGTGTATACTTACGTTTTCCAGACAGTTTACTTATTAACACTTATTTACTTAAAAAATGTCGATGCCCGAAAAAAAATTATCTTTCAGTTTTGTTACAAGAAGCGTATATGTTTTATCGATTTACAAGAGTCCCTGTCCTAGAGGTGTCGTTGTCGGCGGACTATATTTTACTGAACTATAGCACTAGTACTAAGAATAGAATAGTCAGGATTCTGCAGTTTAATGGTCTTGGGTCAAGTTGTGCGAAATGAGACCGGGCCTCGGGTTGACAAGCGAACACTTTAACCACTAGGCTACCCCACCTCATCATTATTGCAGGGGCGGTCGGGTAGCCTAGTGGTTAAAGCGTTCGCTCGCCACGCCGAAAACCCGGGTTCGATTCCCGACATGGGCACAATGTGTCAAGCCCATTTCTGGTGTCCCCCGCCGTGATATTGCTGGAATATTGCTAAAAGCGGCGTAAAACCATACTCATCATTATTCCTACGGCATGTACCCCTTTGGTGAAACCACTAGCACGGGTATGATGCTGGCAAACAAAGGGTTAAGATCAGTGCAAATCTTGGATTCGAACCAACGATCACCGATTTCTTACAACTCTGATTGCGGGGTGTTAGACGAAAGACTATCCATCCGTAACCCTCATAACGCTGAAATGTTGGACAATGTGATGACAACTTACACCACACTGTCCATACGTTGCCGGGTAGCCACGCGTTATATTTTTTCGCCGTTATTATGAAATGAGACAAAACTAAAATGAAAATAAGGATTACTGTGAAACCACTTAGCACATGATGGCGTGTAGACACTGGGTGTGTGTGAGTTATAAACAGCACGATGATATACCACCGTATATCCATTAACGTCATAAACAGCTAGAAACAAACGTTGGCGATGTTGGTGTCCACCGTGTCGAAGGATTTTGGTATGTTATGTCGTGCACTGGGTGAACCTGCGAGTGGGCGTGTAAGGTCCATTAACATATCTTTACACGGAATCTTATCTGCGATCTTTTGGCTCCTGTAATCTCCGGGAGCAGGGTTGGCCCAGTCGTTTAAGGCGAAACAATTCTTTGTGCAGAGTTGCGTCCCGTTTTTGCGCCAGAAACCGATACTTGTGGGTGCGAATCCCCGATTATGTTTACAGGTTTGGCAGCACCATACCCGTGGGTTTCACCGAAGTGGTAAACGTCTCAGACCCGTATCACTTCGGGCTTTCCTCTCACACTATACTGAAACGCCGTGATATAACTGGATAACTGTTTAAAGCAGCGATAAGCCCAAAGCACCCACTCAGATACTTGTCTAAACTAAAGTATGGACGTTTACCTTTACACACCCATGGGTGGAATAGACGACCTCATATTACTCCTGGTTTGAGACCGCCTCCGTGATCTAATGGTAGAGCGTCCGCCCGGAGAGCAGAAGGTCCGGGGTTCGATCCCAAAAGACGTTAAAAGGTGGTACTTCTTGTTACCCTGTCTGGCGCTCGGCATTAAGGGGCTTAAACAAGGACAATTCATGTTAAACTGCGGCATGATATCTCAGTGTGCTAGCACTATAAATCGGCATCAGTCCGGACTAGTGCAAGCAGCCACACACACACACATACACACAAACGTGCATGCACGTCGCGACGTTAAACCCCACTTAACCTCACCTCACCTGGTTTGAAGTCCTTACACTGGCCGCCAGGTGGGACTGGAATAGATACATACATGGTGTATTGCCTCTCGCTGCGACTACAGAACAACGTGACATTACGAAAGCGAGGTCCGCATATTTGCCATGTTTTTTCCTGAATCTTGTCAATCACATTATTGTCAAAGGGACAGAGAATTCAATGGTACAAATGTTTTCATTGGATTCATCAAAAAGCACAAGGCCAGATTTGTTGGCCTGGATACGTCTGAGGCTGTATATTCCAAAGAATTGTATTTGTCATTTTCCATAGCGCATCTACACATTCTACAGTGTATAAATTATGTATTTATTTTTATATGCATTATTACTTGAATTTATTACTTATTATATTTTTTTATATATAGTATATTACTTTTAAACATATGAATAATTATATGTTTCTTATACGTGCATTGTGATAACATCTTAGTGGAAGCGGAACGAATTAGAGTAAGAGAGAGAGAGTGAGCCAGAGAGAAAGAGAGACAAACAGTCATCATTCCACTAAATGTTCGCACTACTCCGGCATTATGGAGTCTCTATGGCCCCATCTGCCACCCCTAGTTTTCTGTAGACATGTTGTATGTCACATCCAGATACCAGCACGGGGCTAAGTAGTCCTGTACTACCCAGACTCCTGGCTTGTTTGCTCAGATAAGACAGACAGAGATCTTTGTGTTGGCCAAACATCATACTCAACGTGTTTGTGTGTGCCTGACTTGTTGAATTGTGTGTCTCGTGCATAGTACTCTCGCCACGCCGACAGCTATGCCTACATAAAAGTTACATAACTTAACGTGATCGTGTTTAAACTGTCTCACCGAGAAATACAGTTCCTAGAAACTGTTAAGAGCCAGTGAAAGGCATTAGCCTTTTGTGAAGCATCTTCCTAGTGCAATATTTGCATACTCTGTGTGTTGTGTTCAGGATTAATAAAGATACATAATTTGTCATAGACATGTCTAGGAAGTGTATTGTACACTCCAGTGACAAAGTTATGTTAGAAAGAAAACCAAATGTACCGAAACATTTCACCCAGTTGGTACTGTGGACCTTTTTAACCCAAGCTTGAGCACTCAGTTGTCCACGGTGCTGTGGGGATGTTGATGCGGTCGTTGTGGGGATGTTGATGCGGTCGTTGTGTGGATGTTGATGTGGTCATTGTGTGGATGTTGCTGCGGTCGTTGTGGGGATGTTGATGCGGTCATTGTGGGGATGTTGATGTGGTCATTGTGTGGATGTTGCTGCGGTCGTTGTGGGGATGTTGATGCGGTCATTGTGGGGATGTTGATGTGGTCATTGTGTGGATGTTGCTGCGGTCATTGTGGGGATGTTGATGCGGTCATTGTGTGGATGTTGATGTGGTCATTGTGTGGATGTTGATGCGGTCATTGTGGGGATGTTGATGCGGTCGTTGTGAGGATGTTGATGCGGTCATTGTGGGGATGTTGATGCGGTCGTTGTGGGGATGTTGATGCGGTCGTTGTGGGGATGTTGATGTGGTCATTGTGTGGATGTTGCTGCGGTCGTTGTGGGGATGTTGATGCGGTCATTGTGGGGATGTTGATGTGGTCATTGTGTGGATGTTGCTGCGGTCATTGTGGGGATGTTGATGCGGTCATTGTGTGGATGTTGATGTGGTCATTGTGTGGATGTTGATGCGGTCATTGTGGGGATGTTGATGCGGTCGTTGTGAGGATGTTGATGCGGTCATTGTGGGGATGTTGATGCGGTCGTTGTGGGGATGTTGATGCGGTCGTTGTGGGGATGTTGA